AGGCCTCCCCCGGCGGGCACAGGCATTTGTAACTGCCCTGGAGGTTGTGGCACTGGAAAGCGCATGGCGGGGGCACCCGCTGGCATTCGTTTATGTCTGACAGAGAGCAGAAAGCCAGTGTGAGGTCAGGGAGCCCAGCTTGCGGGGCAGAGCAGTGCTGGCTAGTGGTTAGAGCAGGAACTAGGAACCCGGGACTCCTGGGCTCCGACCCTCAGCTCTTGGAAGCAGTGTTGTCTCATGGTTAGAGCAGGGAGCCTGAGTTTCTATCCCTGACTCTGCCACCGACTTGCTGCGTGAGCTGAACAAGTCACCGCACCTGCCAACTGCTGAGTATCTGCACTGGCAAAGGGAGGCTGATTCTACTGGGTTCCTAGCGCCCGCGGGGGCTGTCGGGGCTAATGAAAGGAGCGCTCGGCGGTCCCCAGGGGACAAGACACAGTGCAAAGCTTTCTCAGCCGCCACGCCTGCACCGGAACACCGGCCTCCTGCAGGGCTCTCAGCCTCCCCCAGATCCACACCTCTCCCCCTTGCCTTCCCCAGGGATTCCCTCTACAGGCGACGCTGGACTGGAAGGGCTGGGCGGGGCAGAGCTTTTCCTGGAGAGAACTGGCTGTTACTCCAAGCAGCAAACCCGTCTCCAGGTTCGCCCAAGGTCACCAAGAGTCAGTACCAGAGTCAGGCCCAGCCCCACTCCCCCGCCCCATCAGAAATGCTGCCTCCCCGGCAGTTCTCATGGCTTGGCAAAGGCTGGCAGGGCTGGGTTACCCAAGCAGGGTCGGCCGGTGCCCTGGGTCCTGTAGCCGCGGGGACACATGCAGCGGTGCCCGCCGAGGGTGCTCTCACAGACCTGGTTGTAGCGACACGCGTGGGTTCCCTTGGCGCACTCGTCCAGATCTGGGGGGAGAACGAGGGGACAGGGCTCCCAGCATGCACGTCACCACACAGCAGCTAAAGCCAGGCCCCCGCCTCACACCTCCCGGGACTGATCCCTGGTCACTGCCTGGGACCCGTCTTGTGCCCAGTCTCCTGCTCCGCTTTGGCCTGTGCTGACAGTGGGGCCGACCCAGGGCTCCCTGGGGGACGGGAGTCCTTCCCTGCACCGGCCAGGGTGCTGGAGCAGGCCCAGTGAAAGCCAGTCAATGCCCAGAGTGGGGCTGGGGGGCCCCAGCTGCTGGCACTCGGCACTTGTCACCCGGCGGTTCCAATGGAGGGGGAGGCAGGTCGTTGCCCCCATGGGCTACATGACATGACCTCGCGGGGCCAAGGGGAAGGTCACTGCCCCCCCCAGCCGCCAGAAGCACTTAGGCCTGGCTCCCGGGCTGAAGGCTGGCTGGGGTCACTCAGATTAACTCCCCTCTCTGCTAGGCGGGGGGAGGAGCTGGCTCTGCTCCTGCCCCTGTCCGACAAGGCGGAGGACTCACCACTGGGCCGTCTGTCTGGCCCCCGGTACAGCCCGGCTGCAGAGCCTGAGAGAAGGGGCATGAGCCAGGCAACGTGGGGAGCCTTCCGAGGCACCTCCCTCCCCATGGGCCAGGCTGTTACCCTCACACCCCGGCTGTGGACCCCAGCCCCACAGCGCATCAGACCCCGATAGGTCCCCACCAGGTTCGCACACTGCTGCTCTGGGCGACAGGCCCTGCCCACGTCTTGTCCACGTCTTGGGAGAGAGCCTGGTGCCAGGGCAGCTGCCTCCCCCTGGGGGAAGCCTCTAGAGCCATCTGGCAGCCTCCCCCCAGGCTCAGCATGAGTAGACGGGCTGCAGGCTGCTCTCCTGTTACCTGCATGGAGGGAGGAGCTGAGCTGGAAGAGCAGCTCCTGCATGGCTGGGGGGAAGGAGGATTTGATGGCCCTGGCCTGGGGGCGCTGCACCGGGAAGGGCTGCCAGCCCCGGGCGGCGGCGTACTCGATGCTGTGGTTCCAGCGGATCTGAACCGGGAGCCCGTCCTGCAGGAAGCTCTGCACAGACTCCACGTGCAGCTGCCCGGCCCCCGTCTGCACGTGGCGCTCGCTGAAATCCTGGGAGGAACAGAGGGAGATGGGCGGGGGGACTGTAACTTACATTTCTTACAGCTACTGCGGTGTCACACCAAGGGGGTCACAGGGTCTGGGGAGAGAGGTGCGGGAGTCGGGGCAGGGGCTTGGAGTGTACGTGGCGGAAGGAGTGCGGGGGACTCGGCTTGGGGCAGTCCCGGTTGTGGTCAGTTTCCCTGCCCTGCTGGCTGGGAGCAGTGGCTGTGGGGCCACACCTGCAGGCAAGGCAGGACACAAAGACCCCCTGCAGCTCTCTTGCCCACACAGGCCATACACCCCCTGCCTGTGCTGCTTTCAGCCGGCCGTGGGGCCAGCAGGACAGGCTGGGAGCCCCACACTGCCAGCAGGAGCCCAGCTGGGAACACGCGCCTCCACCTGCAGCGTCCCACGCCAGCCATTTCTTATCGGTCCAGAGGACAGGGCGCACCGGCCTGCCCTCACCTCTGGAGGGCCCAGCAAAAGTCCCAGGGGCGGGAGGGGGCGGAGGGGATCTCTCGTTGTGCCATCAGCTGTCACTGGGAACAGGGGCGGGCACCGCAGGGGCCAACTGGGGTGCCTGGGGTGGCAGCAGATGTGGGGGGCGGTGTCCCGGAGCTCCGCACTCACCTGGAAAAGCACGTCCGCATCAGCGACGCTCTCCGGCACGAACCCATTGACCACGGCGTCGAAGAGAAGCGCCGCCCGCGGGCAACGTGTGCGATCCGGAGACGCTCCCCTGCAGCGACAGCGGGTGGCCAGGTAACGATCCAGCCCGTGATGATTTCAGACAGACCGGCGCTGGGCTGCACCAGGCTGCACCGGGCCCAGCAGGGGCCAGCAGTGAACTTGGAGATTTGAATGCAGACTCCTAAACCCGGGAGCACTGGGCCCAGAGTTACCGCTCGGGCGTGTCTCTGCCCCAGCCACACGCTGCACAGCCGCAGGGCTCCCCAGCAGCGCCCCGCTTCCCGCGGAGTTTCTGGTTCCAGCGAACCCGGAGCTCTCACGTGGAACAGGCCACGGCGTCGGTTTTCGCTAGTGTGAGGGGAAGGCTAAAATACCACAGGGGTTGGGGCCAGAACCAGTCCCCTAAAGCAGAGGTGGGTCACCGAGGCTGGGGCAGCGCCCTGCTCCAAAGGCTCCCGCACTCCTCCGACACTGCAGTGCAGATGGCTGGGATGGAACAAAGCCAGGAAGTGGGCGGTGCTGCTTGTGGCCTGGGGTTTTGCAGTGACCGTGTGCACCGTGTCAGCATGCCGCCGCGGGCTCTCCCCAGGACACTCTCACCTGTGGCAAACTCCACTTGGGACTCCTGCCGGAAGACACCGCCCGTCAGCGAGAGGCCGTTCCTGGCCCCGCCGCTCTGCCGTGCAAAGGACCAGTAGATTGGAGCCATGACAGGGACCAGGACTCTCAGCAGCGGCCCTGCGAGGTGCGGCGGGAGGGCACGAGGGTCAGTCCCTGCTCAGTCAGTGCTCTCCCGAGGGGTCACAGGGCAGCCAACTCCCTGCTCGGGGCATCTGTCACTCTGGCCTCAGCAGTTACATGTGGGGCAGCAGACTCAGAGGCACGGTCCTGTTCCAGCATGGCACGCCCAGCTCCGCAGCACCGGGAGCCATTCGCCTCGGGGGCGCTAGCCCTGTTCCGCTCTCCCGGGGAACGCAGAGAGGGAGTCTGGGGATGAGCATGCAGGGAGCCCTGCCTGCTAGCCCTGTGCTCCAGGGGACAGGAGCGTGGCCGGCCCCTCAGAGGCGCTGAGCACAGGCAGCTCTCACGAACCTCAGCACTTCTCATACCAAGGCAAAATGCCTCTGTGCCGGGCCAAGCTCCCCCATAAGTCAGCCCCTAGATCCCTTTTGTGAACCCCGGTGGCTCTCCCAGGCCCTCCAGCTCCCAGGCAGGCACCCCTTGTCTCTCTAAATCCTGGCCCAGATTACATAGCCAGGGAGCAGACTGCTGGCCACATACGTGCACAAGTGGGAGCAGCAATATTTACTTCCCACCTCCCACCAGCGCTGGCAAAAAAGCCACAAAGCTGAGTCGCTCCCTGCCACCCACGCCACAGGCAAGCGCATGGTGCAGTGGGTATTGCTGCCTGCTAGTCACCCAGCTTTACATCCAACTTCTTGCCATTTACATGTGCACTGAAATCTGGTGAGGTATTTGGTGTAATGGACACAAGAAAAATCCCCAGGGGTGTCTCCTACCGACAGCTGGTGGGATATTCCCGATGCTGCTCCGCAGGGTGGCCAGGCCAGACCGGGGATCCTCCGTCACGCTGGCATTCAGAGAGGCAATGCCAAATTCTTGGTCGTTGATGATGCCGATCAGACTGCCCCGGACTCTGATGGGCTCTCCTGAGGGAAGGGGACAGGGCGGAACGAGGTGGGAGATGCACACTAAGCCTCTAAATAAAGGCTCCTGGGGAGGAGCAGAGACTTGCTCTTGCACTGGCCGGGGAGCAGGAGGGACCTGGCTGCCAGGGGAACTGGAGGCTTCCTGACTAGAGCAGAGCTGGGGAAAGGCAGGCAGAGCTGGGGAAGCTGCCAGGCTGCAGGGCCTAACGCAAGGCCTCAGGGTATGAGGGCTGCGGGAAGGCAGCCAGGATAAGCAAAAGCAGCAGGTCCACACCCCCTTGCCAATGATGAGGGGCCATTTCAGGCTGCAGTTTGGCCCTGTGGCAGGGGCTAGATGGAGACTGGCAGTGGGTCACTGAGCAAGGTGGGCAGAGGGGGATTGAGGGTCTCCAGAGGGGGAGGACTCCAGCGTGTGGGGGCATGACGGTTGGGCAGTACCCCGGTAGGAGGATGCCACGGTCTGGGAGAGACATGGACCCTGACCTAGAGTGGTGACTAACGGTAACAGCGGGGAGACACCAGCCAGAAGGAGGCAGCTCTGGCACCCAACATGCTAATTCCCTGAGTGACCAGCAGGAGGCGCCCTTGGTGGTGAATCTGCCGCATGACACTGCAATACGCTGCGGCACCGTCTGCCAGGCACACATCAGGCCAGCGTTAGTTTGCCTTGGTTGCAGCAGGGGGAGTTGATCCATAGGGCAGCTGGCGTTCACAGGACCAGCCTGGATTTTATCGGTGCACGTCACACCCGTGCGCCCCCAAATGCGCACACACGCATCTCTGCACCCATCTACCGACTAACACACAGGCACACCCCTACAAAGCAGTACGCACAGCCACACATGAGATCTCTCAGTCACATTCAGGTTGGTTTCTGTGTTGCACATGACCATCTCTGGCCTGGGTATCATTGGCTCATCCTGTAAAGCATCTGGGCTGTGCCATGCCCCCTATTACTGCTAATCAGGCGGTTGCACTGGTAATGCAGCGTTTGGCCTCTGCCTAATAGCAGGACTGTCTTGCCTGGGTCAGATCTGTTCACTGAGAAAAAGCAGAAGCCAGCGGGCCCTGGCATTTAGCAGGTCTCTCGAGACAGAAGGCTCAAAGCACTTGGGACTGACCCAGCAAAACCCAAACGGCACAGGCCAGCCTGCTGCGGGGTGGAGGAGCCGCCTACACAAGCCTTCATTGCGGCTTTGCGGCCTGAATGCAGCCACAAGATGCCCTCAGCTCTACGCCAGGGCTATTCGCTTGCAAAGAAGACGAGCACCCGAAGAGGCGGCGGGATACAAACGAGCACAACGGTCGGTTGTCCCATCTGCCAGGGCCATTCCCCAGCACAGCACAAGGGGAGAATCGGTGATATTCAAAGGCAACATGGTTTAGTCTATTTAGACTAGGGATGTGAATGATTAACCAGTTAGCCACCACGCCTCATGCTTAACAGGTGACACTTACCAGTTCTGGATAACCGGTGGGGGCTGGAGCAGCTTCCTACCCATTCCGGGCAGGGGGCTGCTCCAGCCCTGCAGGGTCCGCTGTGGGCAGGGTCGCATCCCAGGTCTGCAGTGGGCCCGGCCCAGGCACACTCCAAGCAGGGGGACTCCAGCCCAGCCAGGGGGGACCGGGGGGGCCACGCTCCAGTCCAGCCCTTCCCTTCCCTTTAATCAGTTAGCTGCTTAAACTTTACATTTAACCAGTTAATCAATTCAATAGGATTTTACATCCCTAGTCTAGACACATCATGCAATAAACCTGCACAACTCCCCGCTGCAGGATGTTACAGAAGACGTATTTGCTTTTCATAGGAATAAGCATAACTCCGGCATTACTGCAAAGCAGGTGTCCAGGGTAAGGGCTGGTGCAGCAGCACACCTGTGAGTCCTAACGCTTCACCAGTCAGCAGGGAGGTGGAACCAGGAAGTTCCTCCCTGCCCAGCTGCATTATTGTGTTTGCAAGGGAGGAGGAGGGGAACACTCCTTCCTTCTTATGCATCTGGGACTGGCCAGGGCCGGAGACGCCTCACAGCCCACTGCCCCAGGCTGGGAAACAAGGCCCCTGTTGGACTGGTCACTGCCCCAGACACCTCACAGCCCACTGCCCCAGGCTGGGAAACAAGGCCCCTGTTGGACTGGTCACTGCCCCAGACACCTCACAGCCCACTGCCCCAGGCTGGGAAACAAGGCCCCTGTTGGACTGGTCACTGCCCCAGACACCTCACAGCCCACTGCCCCAGGCTGGGAAACAAGGCCCGTGTTATTCACATCCATGAACTCCCAGGAGCGCTCAGTGGAGCACAGGGCCCTAAATACACATTTGCAAATGCTACACTCACATTACATCTCCCTGCTGACTGAAATCTTCCCGAAAAGCCCCAGATAGGCCAAGAGAAGCCAGGCCAGGGAGCCCCCAGCTCTTCAGGGCCATCCCCTCCCCTGAGGTGGGAGCCTGCCCCCCGTCCCCTCACACCCAGGGGGAGAGGTGTCTCTCAGAGCACTGCAGGGCCTACCCCTCCCCTTAGGCCGGAGCCTGCCTCCCCCTCTCCTTCCTCCACACAGGCAATGCAGGCCCCCCCCCTCCCCGCCCTGCACAGGGGGAGAGGTGTCTCTCAGAGCTGCGCTTTGTACCTGGGCCCAGACAGGGCGGGCACAGCTCCTCCGCCACATCCTCCCCTGCAGGCCTTGCTGCCAGTCTGAGGGGGTGGTGGATGCAAGAAGGGGCACACTGGCCATGATAGCCCTCTCCACCAGCCAAAGAGCACCCGGACCAACTGCCCCAGTTGCCCACACATTAGGGCAGGGGGCAGGGAGTGTGGCAGGGAAGGGAGCAGACAGGGCAAGATGGATCACTGAGCAGATGGACAGACAGACCTCTTTCCCCAGCTGTTACTGAAATAAATCCAGACACTCAGACACACTGGCTATGTCTACACTCACGGCTTCTTGCGCGAGTAATATGTAAATGAGGCTAAGCGTGGAATATCGCAGAGCCTCATTTGCATACCTAATGAGCCACCATTTTTTTCAGAAGAGGCTCTTGCGCTGGAAGGAGCATCTACACTGCCCCTTCTTGTGCAAGAAAAACCCTCTTGCACAATGCCGTTACACCTATGACTTTTCAGGAAGAACGGCATTGCGCAAGAGGGTTTTTCTTGCACAAGAAGGGGCAGTGTAGACACTCCTTCTTGCGCAAGAGCCTCTTCTGAAAAAAATGGTGGCTCATTAGGTATGCAAATGAGGCTCTGCGATATTCCACGCTTCGCCTCATTTGCATATTACTCGCGCAAGACGCCGTGAGTGTAGACATAGCCACTGGGTCTAAACACCCCTGGGGACAGGATCTTGGGGGCCTTTCTCCTGATTTAACTCTTGGGTCCTCAGCCCCAAGTGACGGCCTTGTACTATAATTGCCTCCCTTCAGAAAGGGAGGTTTACGCGGCTTTTCAATTGGAAGAAGATATGCAAATTCCTGCAGAATTTGCATATCTTCTTTTGACCGTTCCCTGTAGTCTAGATGAGCCCCCTGAGCTCACTGCCAATATGACGCTGTTTGCCCACCCCCCTAGTCTTGCAGCCTCCTCAGGAACCCGGCCTGCTCCCTGCTTTTGAGAAGCCCTGCAGGATCCTAGGACACTATGGATAGTCTGGATCACGGGTCCGTACCTCGCACTGTCAGGAAGGCCCGGATGACAGAGGATCCCATCGGATTGCGTGCAACACACTCGTACCGCCCCGCGTCCGTCCCCTCCACGGCGCTGATCAGCAGCGTGGCGTTGGCCAGGACCTGGACTCGGTGGTTCTCCTGGAGGGGTTTTGTTTCTCTGATCCACTCCACTGTGGGAGCTGGCTCTCCCGTAGCCTGGCAGTGCAGCATCACCTCCTCCCCAGCACTCACAGTCATGTCTTGAGGCGTCACGCTGAACACAGGGGCACCTAGAACACCAGGGGAGCCCACCCGGTCACTGCAGCACCCAATGCCCAGCAGAGTCCCTGCCTGGTCAGTGGAGCTTAGACCAGAACAGCAGGCCTGGCATCCAGCTCCCAGCTGCCCCAGAGTTCAGAGCAGGTGGGGTAGCTCCACCCTGAATTATTCTGCGGGGCTCCCAGTCAGTCACCAGGATCTCTCAGATGTAACCCGGACTCTTGCAAGAGAGATGTTCCCACCCATTCACACTGGATTTTTGAGCTGGGCGGGCCTGGGAGATTTTAGGGACCTGATGCTTCTCCCTCAGCTTGGTTTTGGGGCAACCAGCTGGCACTGCCATTTTTTTCTTCTTCATCTCAGGCCTCTGCTCACAGTCTGAGTCAAAGAGTGTAAGACCAGGAGTGACACCTGATCGTCCAGCCTGACTTGCGTTTCCCCAGGCCCCAGTACCCCCACCCTTAACCCAACGCGTGGAATTGGTCCAACACGTCAGGCCTCAGCAGAGTGTTACTGTGCACCAGGGCAGCGAACGGGGGCACCGAGAGGCACCACTGCCCACAGCCTGGGGCAACAGCAGGGAACCGATCAAGCAGATTGGCCATTTCCCCTGCAAACCAACACTCTTGCAAGCACGAGGTCGATGTTGTCTGTGAGGCTAAAAGACCAGCCACCCCCAGGACGGACACTCACTCTGCAGGGCGAGGGTGATCTCCTTCTCCACCACGCCCAGCTCGTTCTCCGCCATGCACTTGTAACGTCCCGCGTCGTCGTGCTGGGAGGAGGGAAAGCAGGCGCATCACCACCTTGCCCAAGGCAAGGCTGCTCTCGCGACTTCCCAGGAGTCCACGGGGGCGCAGCGGATTTGCATAACCTCTGGCAAACTGGTGGCCCATACGCCATGTCTCATCCGGCTCCTGTCAAGGGGGAGCACTGCAGAGCCGGAGCTAGCCCCTGTCCAGGGTCCCCTTGAGCAACAGATGCCAGCAAGCAACCTGGCCTCTGTTCTGAGTGAGGGTGGAGAGAGAGAATTTCTTTAGACCCCAGGAGTGGAGGCCGGCTGAAGAAACCACGGCAAGAGTTACCCAGAGGGAGAAGCTACTTCCCACATACACCTCCCCCAGGTGACCCTGCTTGTTCCCAGGCAGCAGAGCGCTCCAAAACGCCACTAGTCCCAGCTACAACATAATCCAGCCACGCGACTCAAAGGAGGGAAGGAAACATCTGGCAGCACCAGCGAAGAGGGAAGGAACAAGCCCAAGCCCTCTCTCACACACCCCGCCAGTCTCCCCCAGCCAGCGGGGGGGCTGTGACTCACCACCGTCCCGTAGATGGCCAGTGAGCCATTCTGGAGCTGGTGTAGGCGGGGGCTGCCCAGCAGGGGGCGCCCGTTTTTATTCCAGTGGATGAGCGGAGCAGGCTCGCTGTAGGCATCGCAGTTCAGGAGGGCGTTGCCCCCGAGGGGCTCCACCTGGTAGGCCCTCACTTCGCCCCGCAGGACTGGAGCCCCTGGGGAAGGAGAACAGGTGGGAGACCAAAGTCGTGCCTGGCCTGGGCCAGTGGTGGACAGTCTATGGGTTGCATATGCAGGCGGATCCGAACCTGGGCCCTCTGGAGCTTAGTGCATGAGCCTCTACAGCATGAGCTAAAAGCCAGCTGCCCCTCAGACAAGGCTGTGGAGCTCACTCATTCTTCCTCTGTGTCAGTGGCCTCAGTGCCACTAGGCGGGATAGCGAACCACACCTAGCAGGTGCGTGCATGTGTGTGTGTGTGTGTGTGTGTGTGCTACACGTGGCCCATCTGGGTTCTGCGTATGACCCATGCCTCTGCCCCCTCCCTCCGCTGGGGGCCCTGCATTTACCAGTCCTGCCCCTCCCTCTCAGAGCTCGAATGCTGCAAATCACTCTTGGGGTCATGGTTAGTGCACATGCACAATTTTAATCTTGCCCACAAAGATGAAGGAGGGCCACTCCCTAGCCTTGGCTGCCCACCGCTGGCCTGGGCTATGCGCTCCCGGAATGGCCAAGGCCTTCGGGACGTGGCCAGAGATGCCAGGCCAGGCGCTGATCTCCGTGCCAGTGGTGTGGCTCCACGCAGCGGAGTCTGCTGACCACAAAGGCGCTATTCCAGGCTGCTCCTCCCCGCGCACCACAAACGAGCCGCCTCACCTGTCCCGGCACCTTTCACATAGATGAATGCCACGGCCTTGACGCTGCCCACGCCGTTCTCGGCCACGCAGGAGTAGGTGCCGCTGTCCTCCTGGGTGACAGCCTCCCTCTGCAGCATGCTTTGCCCGTTCCGCTCCCAGACGCCCGCTGCCAAAGGGAAGCCACACTGGAGGGTTGTGCGGATAGGTAGTGGAGACGGCACCCAGTCATCTGCAGCCCTGGGGGCCTGAGAGGTGAATGGGGAAGGGCTGGAAGGCTTCCTGCCCACACACTGGAGTCTTGCTCTCCCCTCTGTTCTGGGGGAGAGTGAGAACAGAGCACTGAGCTGACCCCCTCGTTTCCCTGCAGGCACGCCAGGCAACACGGCCACACTGCACTTGTTCAGAGCCTTCCCCTTAGGGCAGCCCCACGCTGAGGAAGAAAATGGCAGCACAGGGCACTAGTAAGCTCACAGGGCACTAGGAAGTCGCACTAATTAAATCTTGCACGCTGCCTCCCTGGGTATTCTTAGCACTTTGGGGGGACGAGGTCCACGATGTCCGCACTAGCCCAGGAAGGTGCCCGCCTCTTGCGGTCCAGGGCAAGCTCCCGGGAGCCGCC